GTATATCAGTAGCGTATTTTATACACATTTAGTCCATACGTTCTGGTCCCCATTCAAACCCACATGTTATACACTTTGTAAAACACACCTTTTATACCCCCATGGGAACCCAGATTTTATACACAATTTAAACCCACAATTTATACACCATTTAGACCCGCATTCCTTACCGTATATAAACCCTCATTTTATACACAATTTAAACCCACATTTTATACACCTTATAAAACACACATTTTATACACCTTATAAAACACACATTTTATACCCCAAGGGAACCCAGATTTTATACACCTTGTAAACCCACATTCCTTACCGTACATAAACCCAGATTTTATACACAATTTAAATCCATTTTTATACACCTTGTAAAACCCACATTTTATACACCATGTAAACCCATACTTTATCCACTATGTAAACCCACATTCTCTACCCCATGTTACCCCTTATCCCATTGTCTTGTACACATTGGCGCCAAATGTGCATCACGGTAAAACCATCCACCTTGTGTATTTCAGTTTACAACAAATTCACCCCCCCCCCCCCCACCTCCTATGATTAGTGTCAGCGATCCCAAACGCCAGTCAATCAATTCTTACCTTGACGATACGCTCAAGCTTCCAGTCGATAAACTTTTCCGGGTTGTTTTCAACTCCTATCTCTGAAACAATTACTTACACATAAAAACACCACCACTTACGTAATTATTCGCTGTAATGACCAGCCAATCTCAAATTTTCTATCGATCTTCAATAGATCCTGGGAAAATGTGCATTGATCTCATAAAAAATATATTGCAGAAAATATTTCTCTATTAGAAAATACACATAAAAAAAAAGTCTAGATTACTAATATATTCATACTTTTTTTTTTAAATAATGAAATATAATTTTGCTTTAAACAGTGAAGAATATTATGCATATAAACGTAATATATGTTTGTCTGTGTGTGTGTGGGGGGGGGGGGGGGGGGGGGGGGGGGGGGGCGTATGTATAAAGTGAGTTTAAGTGGCACATTATTTTAAAGCGTTTCAAAATTATACATTTTTTTTTCTGATTGACTGGCCCCAGTTGTCACATAAGTTGTAGGTTTTGTATGTGAATTGTCTTGTATCGTTACTGAATTCTCAGACTTCATTGTATGACTGGGGTGGGTGTGATCAGACTTCATTGTATGACTGAGGTGGGTGTGGTCAGACTTAATTATAAAACTGTGATGGGTGTAAGGTCAGACTTCATTGTATGACTGGGGTGGGTGTGGTCAGACAAAATGTAAGACTGGGGTGGGTGTGGTCAGACTTCATTGTATGACTGAGGTGGGTGTGGTCAGACTTGATTATAAGACTGTGATGGGTGTGGACAGATTGTAATGGGTGTGGTCAGACTTTATTGTATGACTGGGGTGGGTGTGGTCAGACTTGATTATAAGACTGTGATGGGTGTGGATAGACTTCATTGTATGACTGTGGTGGGTGTGGTCAGACTTCATTGTATGACTGTGGTGGGTGTGGTCAGACTTCATTGTATGACTGTGGTGGGTGTGGTCAGACTTCATTGTATGACTGTGGTGGGTGTGGTCAGACTTCATTGTATGACTGTGGTGGGTGTGGTCAGACTTCATTGTATGACTGTGGTGGGTGTGGACAGACTTGATTATAAGACTGTGATGGGTGTGGACAGATTGTAATGGGTGTGGTCAGACTTCATTGTATGACTGAGGTGGGTGTGGTCAGACTTGATTATAAGACTGTGATGGGTGTGGACAGATTGTAATGGGTGTGGTCAGACTTTATTGTATGACTGGGGTGGGTGTGGTCAGACTTGATTATAAGACTGTGATGGGTGTGGACAGACTTCATTGCATGACTGTGGTGGGTGTGGTCAGACTTCATTGCATGACTGTGGTGGGTGTGGTCAGACTTCATTGTATGACTGTGGTGGATGTGGTCAGACTTCATGTATGACTGTGGTGGGTGTGGTCAGACTTCATTATATGACTGAGGTGGGTGTGGACAGACTTTATTGTATGACTATGGTGGGTGTGGTCAGACTTCATGTATGACTGTGGTGGGTGTGGTCAGACTTCATTATATGACTGAGGTGGGTGTGGACAGACTTTATTGTATGACTATGGTGGGTGTGGTCAGACTTCATGTATGACTGTGGTGGATGTGGTCAGACTTCATTGCATGACTGAGGTGGGTGTGGACAGACTTTATTGTATGACTGTGGTGGGTGTGGACAGACTTCATTGTATGACTGGGGTGGGTGTGATCAGACTTTACCTGAAACAATTTTTTCCCAAAACGTTTTAAAATTTAAGTTCTATCGTTTTTTTAAAACATTTTATCTGATTAAATGTGAATACAAGTATTTTACGCTAGGATATTTATTTTGTAGCATGGTTCACTAATATTCAAATCTGTGTCACAAGGTCGTCCATAAATAACGTCATGCTTATTTGCAAATTCCCCTCCACCCCTTTCTTCACAATAAATTAAAGCCCCACCCTCAGCCTTGTCACCATCCACCCCAACCACAAATTGCGTTTTCTTGGGGTTCGGCTTTGGCAGATCAAATAAAAACAATCGGCAGAACTAATTAACTACGGCTTATGTGAAAGACCTTCAGTTTCCTCTTGAAATTATTATATTACAATGCTCGCTTGATATTGGGTTGGAGGAAATTAATTTCTACCTAATAAGAAAAAAAATCTTCGCGTGAAGCTCATATAAGGTATGTTGTCGAAAGTTAATCTTTAATCGTACAAAAATCAGCCCCACTGTGGCTTTCTTACAACTATACTGACATGCTCTTATGACTTGAATCTCACGGTAACTATACAACAAAGACCGCTGAGAATCTTATCAACCATGTAGCAGACCAATGGAATGAATTGATTGGATTACAATTTATCTGCTGTTTAAAAGAAAGATTTGTTTCTAATTTCGTTTCAGCCCAAAAAGGAATGGATTAGACTAGGCGCAGAACATTATTCCTGAAGATCAAGTCATTCACAATCCCTTGATCAATTTCCCATACTGTTACTTTCTACCCCCCCCCCCCCCCCATCTCGACAAATGGAGTAAGTTGTGTGCTTTATAATAGTTTATAATAAGTTTTAAACTATTTTAAAAAAGGCTACAATGCAAATATATTATGAAACAAAATTTGCGCATTGATAAGACAAAACCTTACACCTCCCCTCCCCCCACCCCCACACAGACACACAAACACACACGCACCACAATAAAAACAAAAAGATTGAATTTTGAAATTAATTACTTTTATAAAAATGTATTTAACAATGTCAACTAGACTTTGCAAACTTAATTACATAAACTTCAACAATTAACTAAAACATATGAACCAGAAATTTGTTAAACTATTTTTAAAATACCACATTTTTACAACAATTGCAAACTTGAATTAAACATTTAACAAAATTTTAAAATAGTATTTTATTTAAAATAATATTTTTTTCTAGGTACATATTCATTTGTGTCAACAACTTTTAAATTTATCTTAAAATAAATGTTTGCATACACAAAATTTTGTTTTATAGTACTCATATTTTAAAAAAAATGGTTTTAAATGCATGGGAATATTTATTTTGGATCACAAATTTGTTGTTACAATATAATACAAATACATTTTAAAAATCATTAACTATATACAAAAATAGTTAACAGAATAAAACTGAAAGTTAATAATTTGGCATTAAAACAAACAAACAAAAATAACATTTTAAACATTTTGCACTATATTTTGCAAGAAAGAAAATTGATCATTAAAATGTCTTATTTTCAAAAACAAAAACTACAACAAATAGTCTACTTTTACAATTAAAAACAGTTAATAATCATACAAATTATACTACATAAAAATCTAACTAAATGTAGATTGAAAGTTAGAAAGTAATTAACAAATTCAAATGTATCATTTCATTAACAGCTGGGTTAGTAAAATAACAGTTACTAATTTTGCACAAATTGTTTGAATACAACAGATGAATGTATCAGTTTTGTTTGGTAAACATTTATTTTCTAAATATTTAAAAAAAATGTAATTATTAGAGGTTAGGAATTGTTGTAATATCTTTCATGCTTTAAAGAAAAAAGATTCACTCAACTCCTAAGATGACTTTTAAAGCTTTACTTAACATAGCACATGCCATGGATTATTGCCAATACAGATAGCTGATATTGAAAAAACATATTAAGTACAATATGAAACATTTAATCTTCCTCTGAAGAATTAGATTCTTAATAAAACATATTAAAACATAAATATATTTAAAAAATGTACAGGAAAGCAAATCAGCACAAATCAATTGATCAAAAAGATTTTTAGCTAGCACTTTTTTTCTAATACCTTGAGCTTCACCCAATGATTAAAATAGCTACCTACAACAACAACAGAACAATGCACAATAAAAGATAACCTAACAACAATTTTAGATGTATATTTTGTTGATGACAATAAGTAGGGCCAGCATTATTCAAACATTTGCTTGCTACATCTATCAATGTACTGTAATCTTAGGCATTCAACCACTGGTTATTATATCCTATAGTATCTCATACTTATAACACCCAAAAAATAATTTTTCTAACATATTTTAACTCATTTCAAAATATTTTCTAAAACTTGCACTATCAGTGATAGGTGATCAGAACAAATGTATATAATAATAAAATAAAATATTAACCAACAAGACAGTTTAAGAGCTGCATTTTAGATTTAAAATAAATACAGTAACAAAATGTTAGTTCTTTTAGTTATAGTTGTTGACTGGCCAAATTAAACTGTGAAGTAATCATTTTAGTATTCACAAATCTTGCAATTAACAAGAAGATAACAAAAGATTTAAAAAAGAAACTATAGCCTGCTCTAGGTGGATTTTTACATGAATATAAAACATTAAACTTTACCCTTATTTTTTACAAATTAAAGAAAAACACTTTTGTAACTAAATAGTCTAGACTATGGGCACAGAACCTTATGCTTTAAGAATATGTTCTAATATGCGGTCACATTGTTTACCAGTAACATTTGAATGCCTTTGCAATGATACTTAATTTTTGACACCATCAATGAGTTCTTTTATGAATGATTAAATTCCTTTGTGTTCTATAATGTTTAGAGCACACATCACACTCAAATTGTGAATACTGAAATTCATGAAGAATGTAGTCTTGTTTGTTAAAAAAATAGTGTCTACATTTAGCACATCTAAACTGTCCCAGTTTAAGATGACTCCGTTTATGGTAATATAAATATAATTGTGTTTTAAAATGCATACAGCACAAATCGCAAACATACTGTGAGAACTCTAGTTCATGTTGTGTTAAATCTGTCTGGTTAAGAAATTTTTTAATGCACACTTGACATTCAAACTGCGATTTTTCTGGGTGAAGCTTTTTATGTCTCTGTAAAACTTTTTTTGTTTTGAAATGCCGATGGCACACGCCACATTCAAATTTTGAATAAGCTTGCTCATGCTCCATTAATGCTTGTTCGGTAACAAAATACCATTTACACTTGGGACAGTCAAACTTTTCAAACCGTCCTTTTCTTAAATTTCTGTAATTTTTTTTATGAAGATTAAGTTGTGAATTTTTTTGTTGATGTTGAGTTAAATTATTATTGCTAAGATATTTTCTTAGACAGTCTTGGCTTTCAAACTGGCAATCAGCTGTATGGAGTTTTTTATGTTCTTTTAAGAACTTGAGATGAAAAAAATTATGGTAACACTTAACACACTGAAACAATCTCTCTCTGACCCTGATGTGAAGTCGCTCATGTTCATCGAAACATTTCTTGAAAGCAAAAACTTTCTTACACAGATTACATGTGTAAGTCGTCCTCCCTATGTGGCCTAGGTGGTGACTTACTAATTCATGCTTGTAAAATAAAACTATATTACAGAGATCGCATTTGAAACCTTTTAAACTTTTTGCCTGTTTTAAATGGATGTTGAAATGAAATGTCTTACAACATAATTGACACTCAAATAATTTTTCTTCTGAATGATTTTCTAAATGCTTGTTAAGGTTATGATTAGAATAAAAACTTTTAGAGCAGAAAAAACATTTGAAAGGCTTTTCACCTGTTTGCACTTTTTTATGTTTAGTTAAACTACCAATTTGAGTACTGACTTTAAGATAAAAATCACGTCCATTTTGTGTCTTTATTGTAGGATTTTGTTCATGGTCATCTTCCAGTCTTTCAAGTTTCTGATCACACATGACTGATTTAACCCTGTCATGCAGCTTCCTGTGCCATCTTAAATGGTGCTTATTATTAAAATTTCTAGAACACAAATCACAAGCAAATGCTTTTTCTGGAGTGTGCAGATGTCTATGCTTTATTAGCATGTATAGCATTTTAAACCTTCTGAGACACATACCACACTTAAATGAGTTCTTTATATTATGTGTCTTCTTGTGCTGAATAAAATGACATTTCCAGTTAAATTTCTTACAGCACACATTACATTGAAATGGCTTAATATTGCTATGCAACCTTTTATGATATAAAAACAAATATTTAGAAATGAACAATTTAGGACAAAAATCACATTTGAATGATCTTTTTCCAGTATGAAGTTGTTTTATCTTAGGAGTATTATTAATGTTTTTTTCAGGACTAGCATCATGGAGAAAACTCACTGTTCCTGGGTGTATTTGTTTATGCTGACTCAAATCATGTTGAGTTGAACATTTTTTTAGACACACATCACACTCAAAACTTATATCTTTAGTGCATTCCTCAGCTGCATTGCTTATCAACTGTGCGTGTAAGGATTCATGACGCCTCAAAGAAAAACTGTCAGCGCAGATTTGATAACAAACTTTGCATGTGAAATCTTTCTTCTCCTCATGCAAGTGTAAATGGTGTCTGTAGCTGGCAAAGCTAGGGAGCTTGACATTACACAGCGTGCAATTAAAATTAAACACTGGTAACTCCCTAGAGGAGAGACTTTCAATGGTAAATGAAGTCAGGAGTGAATTATTATTTTTCCCAGACTTGAAATCAGGAATGTCATCTACTGTTAAATCAATGGTCTCAATGTCAGTTAAATCGATAAAGACTTCATTTAAAATCTTGTTTTGTAAGTTATTGCCTACTTTTGGATTGATATAACACTCTTTATTCTCCATCCTAGTCAGAGATACTTTTGTCTGAAACAAAAATTTGTATGCATAATACATTCTAAAAAGTATAAATATTTAAGAATAAATTAATAATGAAGAGACCAAGAGGGCTACAATGATTAATTATATAATATATTTTAATAATTCAAGAAAAGACTAGTTTCAAGTGTTTACAGTCCACAAGTTTACTTCAGATTCATCTTTCTTGAAGTATTAAGACAACATTTTCTGTCTTTGGCTTAACAATGTTAACTAGAAGTTATTAGTAGCAAAGTACAATAAAATAGTAAAAGCACCATTAATTTGACATTAAATATTAAATGTTATTAGACCTATATTTATTTATAGTAAATAAATTAAAGGCAAACATCAAGCATAATTAAATATAATCACAAAATCAATATCTAGTTATTATTTGTTGTATTGTAGTAATATCATGTTTAGTGTTAAGTCAGATTTATTAGGGCTTATGGTTAAACTAGACTCTATTTTACTCTAGAGCAGTCATTCTTAACCTTCTTGGAGGTACTGAACCCCACCAGTTTCATATGCACATTCACTGAACCCTTCTTAAAATTCTATCCAATGCACAAACAAAATCCAATCGTGAATCACGAGTCAGTGTGACTGTGTGTCTTGACCTCCATCAAACCCCTGAGGCTGACCTACCAAACCCCTATATAGAACCACAGTTAACAACCACTGCTCTTGTCAAGACTATACGATAGGGCTATGGTAGTTTCTGTTCTTCAGATACAATTAGCTGATTATTTTGACTAAGTGTCAGCATTGACTCTTTTACACATGAGTAAAATTAGTATTATTTAGTGTAATACCAATCACATAACAGTCTAACACACTTCAAAAAAAGTATTTAGAATCTAGATCTAGATATAGACTTTCTAGACTCTAGTTGCTAGAACTAGTTCTATATCTACATCTAGATCTAAATCTTTAATCTAGTAATAGTAGATTAGTTAAGCAGTAATTAATTGTATTTAGTAGAAGTAGAGTTCAGAGTTTGGAACTTTAGATACGACCTAGATCTAGATATATATTCTAGATCAGATTTAGTAGATTCTAGATCTAGATCTACCTAGATTCTGGATCTAGAATCTAGATCTAGAATAATCTATCTACGCTAGATCTAGAACTAGATAAGTCAAGATGATATACTTTTAGGCCTTAGGGGTCTATTCTAATCAGAGGCGTAGCGACCCTTCCCGACGCCCGGGGGACAAACTTTCGATTTGAACCTCCCCCCTCGAACTTTTCATTTGCACACACCCCCCAAACTTTCAATTTGTTGTTCCAACCCATTTTGGCGCCGCCCTCCCCCCCCCCCCCCCCCCCACTGATTCTAAAATAGTATAGATTCTAGTTATTCTAGTAAAAGTAGAGATTCTTAGTCCCTAATAGATTCTAGATCTAGAAGTAATAACTAAATCTAATAATTGTCTGTTGTAGAATCTAGTAGATCTAGATCTAAGGTAGATTCTAGATTTCTAGATCTGGCTAGATCTAAAATCTAGACCTAGATTAGATCTAGATTTCTCTAGATTCTAGATCTAGAAGTCTAGATCTATCTAATCTCTAGATAGAACAGGTCATTTAGATCTAGATCTAGATTCTAGAGTGTTACAGTCTGACCGTGCCACTGTCTGTAGTACTGTACTGTATACTATAATACTGTTAGTGTGTATATGAGTATGTAGAATCTAGATCTATATCTAGACTAGATCTAGATTAGATCTAGATCTAGTTATTTTTTTTAAAAGTTAATCTAGATTCTAGATCTTGATCTCTAGGTCTAGAGATTCTAGAATCTAGATCTAGACGTCTAGATCTAGATCTACTAGATTCTAGATCTAGATAAAATTGACAACCTTTAACTTTTAAGTTTAACTTAAACTCTAAAGACTAGACTAAAGACTTAATTTGACTTAAAGTTTAGAGTTTAGATCTAGATTCTAGAATCTAGATCTAGATATCTAGATCTAGATTCTAGATCTAGATCTAGTTCTAGATTTAGATCTAGATCTAGATCTAGATCTAGTAATTTAAAGCTTACCTAAATAAAATGAGAAATAACTCCAATTAGTCAATTAGACTTAGAATCTAGAACTAGATCTAGAATTCTAGATCTAGATTAGATCTAGATCTATATCTAGATAATTACGAAACAATTGACAGAAAACTCAAGGCGAGCACTTGGAAGGCTCTCTAATACTCTCTATTCTCCAGTAGATCGTCCGTACAGCCACAAGGGGTACCTGGCAACATCCTGTTTATAAAACTTTAAATTATCGGAACGTCGATATTTTTTTGTTCCGTTTTTCTTGTAATGTGTAACTATGAATATTTGATGCGTTAAACTTAAACGTTTTAGATCTTGATCTAGAGATCTAGGTCTAAAATTTTGTACATAAAAACAACTCGCAGTTTGAAAGTAATGTATTTATTTTTTTATGAATGTGTTTCTTTTTTCATTATTTCGCCTTTTCAAAATACATTTTAAAATAAACCGGGAGTGATCTCCCCTAAACTTTCTCGAATATTCTTATATAAAATAACAGGGGATGGGAACTCGGGCTATAGACATGATTTTTAATCCATTTTAAATACTTAAAGTTTTAAAAATAGAATAAAATCTCGTAGACAAATTAATTGCACACCAAGTGAACGCGAAATAAAAAAGCGCATAATAGTGCGCAATATTATTATTACTTTAAAAATTTACATTAGTTTTTTGAGAAATCGGAAGTAGCGTAAATTACTACTTCCGGTCAACGGAAATTACTCAAAATTTAACAGAAGGTAGAGAATTAGATCTTTTACTTACATGTGAAATTTCATTTATCTATCTGAAATAGTACTCAAGTTATAGGCTTTTGAAAAATTCAAAGTAGAAAAAGTACCACTTCCGGTTGTCAGAAATCGCTCAAAAGTTGATACGGATCTACGATTTTGATAAAATACTTATATATGAAATTTCATCAACCTAGCTGTAACGGTACTCAAGTTATCGTGTTTACACACGGACACACACACACACAGACACACACACAGACACACAGACATACGGACAAGATTGCAAAATTATGTTTTTCCGTATCAGTGAGATGCAAAACGTCGAGATTTGCAAAAATCTCGATTTTTTTTTTTTGCACGATTACAAGACTTTCTCTATACTTCGTATATACGAGAAAGTAAAAAGCAAAAAACAACCGTGTTCAGAATATATTGTTTTGGAAAGAAACACTGTTTGAAAAAAAAACACCAGCAAAATTGTGCAGAACTTAGAGAAAGAATTATCCGAAATCTGAACATAAGACATTCGGGATAGCAGTCGAGCGCTAGGCCTAACCGCCTTCTCCAAACGAATGTAATGTAGATCTACATTTAATAAAAGGGATATAACTGTAAAACAGTATGTAGTTGACACTGATCAAGTTGATGTAACCGCTATATACAGATCAAATCAGAAGTCTAATTAAGCACACTAATAAAGGCGTATTTCCACAACTACAGCAGAAGTGGATATTTGTAACGTGAGCCCATTTATTTGCATCGGTCTTGAATCACCCCACCAAATTTATTTCATGTTGAATTTCTAACACAGTCCTACATAATATGTTACAGTGTGTTTACACGTCAAAACTCTTTGCCTCTCTCACTAAAATCATGTACTTATGTTATCTTGACATGCCGATACGCACGTCTGATAAAAACACTCCCATAGGTCCTCATTTACTTCTGTCATACATTTCGTTTCTTGCAGGAAATTGAAACGTCACTCACACTGACGCATACCTAGAAAAATTTCAAACGCAGTTATCTGTATTTTTATAACCTTTTATTTAACTTGCTTTCTTGTTCTTTTGACGTTTGTCTTATGGGTCGAAACCGGCGAGCGAAATTTCGACCACGTCTAAAGGACCGATTTCTTTAAAATTTGATGACAATGCATTTAACATCTAATTTATCTTAATTGGATGCTTATCTAATTTTTAAAGAATTAATTAAAATTTATTATAATTTTGTTTTCTACTTATAAAGGTTTGTTATTAAAATGTTGTTTTTTTCAATTTTAATTTGTTTTAGTAGTGCCGTCTTGCTATTCCTTTCAACCCTTGCTTCACAAACATATTGCCTCAAGCACCCTTGTCAGATGCGTAGCGACCCTTCCCGGCGCCCGGGGACAAACTTTCGATTTTCACCCCCCCCCCCCCTCGAACTTTTCATTTGCACCCCCCCCTCAAACTTTCAATTTGGCGCCCCCCTCAGGTCGGTCACTACGCCTCTGACCCTTGTAGATTCCTATATTATCTATACGAGCGAAGTTCCTAGTTGTCTAATCTTCAAACATGACAACTATGACTGCCTCATCTGTTTTACACATTTGGCGTCAGAAAAATTTGGATTTATAATAATTTAAAAATATAAAAACCTTTATAATAACCCATTTTAAATACTATGAAAATAAGAAAATGAAAAATAGGCTTTCTTTGAAGCATTGAAGGCCAAAAGGTATAATTTTTTTAAAGATACTTTTTATTTTGTTATTTTCAGTGCATTTGATATATATATATATATATATATATATATATATATATATATATATATATATATATATATATATATATATATATATATATATATATATATATATATGCTTGCCCAAAAAATAGCTAAAACATGTTGTTTTTTCACGTCTCCATGTTGAAATGGTAAAGAAAAAAAGATCTAGATCTAGTTAATACCGCTGTTCAATAGTGGGAACAAATATTTACCGGAAAAGGAGTGGGGTAGAGCATATATTAGATGGGTGCTGATGGGCTATCTAAAGTAAAACATCAGGTTAAAAGCGACGGTTCGGTTTGTGTAAATAGAAATTTAGACTTAATTTTGAATTTTTATTTTTTTCTGTCTATTCAGAAGAAGAAATCTAAAACACACATATCGACAATGATTGGTCCCTCTCCACCACTTCCATGTCGTTAAGATTTTTTTGGTTAAATATAATGTCACTGTCGCGCCTGACCAGAGTTTCTTCCAGGCATCTCTTCGGGGGGGGCGAAGCCCCCCCGAAAAATTTTTACCGCCCCCCCCGAACGAAATGAAATTTATATAATTTATATAGAAAATATATATTTTTAACAGTGTCCGCCCCCCCGAAGAAAGTTTACCGCCCCCCCGAAGATTTCAAGTGCCCCCCCGGAGAAAAAAGTCTGGAAGAAACACTGCGCCTGACTGTCTAGCACGAGATTTACGGTAATACAAAACCATTCCACCTGTCACTGCATCAGCGTATTTTGACATCCGTAGCCGTTACGATAGAAAGGAGTCGTCACACTGTCGTCACCGCATCAGCGCATTTAAATGTCCGCTACCGTTGCGTTAGAAAGTACTCGTCACTGATTCAGCCGCCCTCGAAATATACACCGGGAGATGTTATTTTGTATTAAAATTGCCTTGGGTGTAATGTAAATTCTTCATCTAGACCAGTGGTTCCCAACCTTTTTCGAGTGGCGACCCCCTTTTATAAAAAGTAAGTGACCCGCGACCCCCATAGAATTAAAAAGCCGAAACTAGTATGGAAATTAATAAGCACTAAAGTAAGATTTTCTAGTAGACTTTCAATATGAACTACTCTTGATAACTGTTTTAATAGCTTGAGTAAAATTGCACACTATTCACTAAACCTTCGTGGTTAAGTTTTTAATTAAAATTTTTTTTTGTTAACGCCAACCTATGTCATTATAATTATCTTAATTTTGTTTTTAATCGAAGAATAGTGTTGAAAATATATTGTCGAAAAGTCAATCAATTTTACGTTTGGGTATGAATGGTGAATACTACACCAAAATTGTGTCTGTAGTTTTTCATCTTACTCGGAATCATTCTGCAAATCAAAGAATTCATCTTGTAATTCATCGGGAATGCTGGCAAAATCAAGGGAAGAAGAGAATGGGTAATACGTAAATGCAGATTCTTCTTTTTTCAGCTCAGAGAAGTAGCGATGCAGTTCGTTTTCAAGAGATTCAAAATGCCCAGAAATCGCTTCTTTCAAAATTTTAATTATCTCACAATCAGATTCATCTACCACACCGCAGAGTTTCTCAAATTTACAATATTTCCTAGATTTATTTTCTTCGCCAATTTTGCAGCTTTGATAAAAATGCCCCGAGATTATCATGGAAAGTTATAATATTCGTTAGTTTTCCCTCAAGCTTCAGGTTAAGCTTATCTTGATGTTCGAGCACATCTGCTAGGTATGATACTTTCTCCAACCACTCTATGTCGTTTAAAGTATACCAAAAAGTCTTGTTTCCTTTGCACTCCCAAGAACAATTTGATTTCAGATTTCAATTAAAAAACACAATTTACAACATTTCGTTTGACAGCCAGCGTACTGTAGTGTAGAAGAGCAGAACCTCGTGATCTATATTAATGTTTTTGCTCAGTTCTTTGAAGGCCCCAGATTTTATATAATTTACGACTTATACTAGCAATGGACTCTTGATGTCGATTGGTTAGGGCAGTGGTTAGGGAGCTAAATCTTTTCTGTTTTCTGAAAGCCCGATTTTGAGATAAACATAGATGTTTGGATCGTAACGTCTAGATCACGGGTTCCCAACCTGGGGGTCGCGACCCCCCTGGGGGTCGCGGAGGTCTTTCTGGGGGGTCGCCAACTGGTATACTAAATCTTAGTAATTTGAAACAAAACAAATATTTAGAAGAATTTTTGAAATTCGGCTTCATTAACATCACTGGAAATGTAATAGAGAAGAAACAAAGCGCACTGTACAAAGTTGTTCTCAGTCACGAAGCTATGAAATCTTCAAAAATAAGACGTCATTTGAGACGAGTCATTCAGAACACACAAAAAATATATGGAGTTCTTTCGTCGGTAAGAAGCTAGTTGCAAACGCCAGAAACTTGATCGAACAGGAAGTTTTCACCAGCATTAGTGCAAGCATCAAATGAAGTCGCGATAGAAAATGCCAAGCAAAAAAAAAAAAAAAACAATAGGAGAAAACCTCATCAAACGCTGCATGTACGTAAATGTTAAATAACACATTTTTATTGAAATTAAGCTTTCACCATTGTTTGCTTTTCAAGTTGATAAATCAACAGACGTGAGTTCGTGTTCGCAGT